AAAAGAAGAAAAGAAGAAGAAGAAGAAGAAGAAGAAGAAGAAGAAGAAGAAGAAGAAGAAGAAGAAGAAGAAGAAGAAGAAGCAGCAGCAGCATGGGGAGAAAAAAACAAGGCACACATATAAAACATATGACCAATAATTCAGGGTGGCATGGGCTAAGTGTCAAATGAGGAGGATATAGCAGATCAAGGAGGGAAGGAGCTTGGTTTACCGCCCTGCAGGTGGAAGAAGGCTTTGGAAAATGTCAGACCATCACCTCAACTACTGAGTCAATAAGAGGGGTCTGAGGACACTGAAATTAACCAAGACAGACATGTGTCTTTCCTGTTTGTGTCTAAAATGAAGGTGTTATGTGCTTCTTTCTATTTCAGATGAAGCAAAAGGAGTCATCTTCAGGTCTCTTTTGTTCCAGGTTGAGTGCTCATAAAAACAGTGGTCAAGGATTCAGTTTCTACAAGATCAGTGTTCACAAGTCCTCTCCATTCTTAAATATGTTCAAGGGAGGGAAAACAAGGGAGGGAAAGATAAGCAGGGAGAGGTGCCTCTGATTCCCCGCCAACAGTGAAAATTGAGGACCCTATCCCCATTTTTGTGTTGGGGAGATTGTGAACAGATTAGCAGTGAAATGCAGAAAGGAACTCCAGAAGGAATGATATTCACGTCCATATACTGAGTGTAGGGATGTAAGGAACAGTTCCTAGGGATTATTCTGGTGTTCTGGGTGATGTGGTATGCAGTATTCATTTATTTCACCCACCCATTGTCTCCTCTACACACACACACACACACACACACACACACACATACACACACGTACACACAAACACACACACATACATACATACATACATCTGTCCATCCATTTCTTCCTTCCTCTTATCCACATTCCAAATGTTCATGCATCTACCCATTCATTTATAAAAATGGAATAGTGACTCTTATTTTCAATAAATAAATAGATAAATAAATAAAACAAATTACCTTCTAGCCAAAGCTTCCTCCAAAAAGAAATCAAAATACTTGTTAAATTCTTTCTGAAAATCTTCAGGTGGAATCCACTTAATAAATTTGTATGACTTCTCTTCTTCTTTGAAACCTAAGAAAGCATCAGTGAGTTTTAAGACAAGTCAAATATGGTAATATTAGCATAAAATTTCAAAATGTGTGTATTCTGATGACTTTATACTTACTTGGGGGTTATTTTTATCTTGTTTTGTTTCATTAAATCTGTAGCAAGAGCAGCAAGTGCTTTTAACCACCGAACCATCAGTCCTGATACTCATGGTGGAGGAATACCCCTGATGGCATAGCCTAGGCCAACCTCTTCCATGCGTTCCCATGACACAGTGGTACCATAGGCTGACAATGAAGGCTTTAACACATGGGCCTATGAAAGCATTTGTCCAAGCCATAGCACCAGGTCAATAAAGGAGAACCTTTACTCATACCAACCCCTTCTCACCATTAAAAACTCAAACAAATCATCCTCCCTTGGTCTCTTAGGCTGTTTTTCTTGAGAGCCATATTGGTCTTTTTAAAATTCCTCTTTATAAGAATGGTAAACTTCGCAATCCTTCTTAATTCATGTATGTCTTCAACAGTCATGACATTCAAACCAGGTTCAGGATAGGTTAATATACTGTTGGGGAACCCTGCTGTTAGGGTTACAGTTTCTCCATGTCCGGATAGCTCTGAGAGGCTCGGTGCCTGATGGAGAGACTCTCCTTTTCAGCAGGGGGCCTCCTGCTCTCTTCCTGGCTCACTTTGAAAGTGCCGCCAAGTGAAGATGCCTGGCCTTATCTGAAATATGGCCTTTAGCATAGTTACCTGAAGTAAA